TGTTGATCTTAAATCACATATACGTTTTCTCACCATTTCTACTCTTGAAAGATATTTAAATAGTCAATCTTCTCTAAGCAACCTTGACAAGGAGTTACTTGAAAGTAAAAAGCTTACAAGGAAATTCATGAAAGATTATCCGGATATCATTTTTACCAAAGCGGATAAGGGTAATGTCACCGTTGCTTTGGATAAAAGCGTTTATATCTCAAAAATCGAAGCAATGCTGAGTGATACGAATACTTATGACAAATCGAAGATAAAGAACCCTGCAAAGAGAACAGAAAACAAACTTAACGAATGTTTAAAGTCGTGGTGTAATGCGAACTATATAAGCAAAAATGAATATTATTCTCTAATTTGTAATGACAAACCTCTTCCTAGAGCCTACGGNCTTCCAAAGGTCCATAAACCTGGTAATCCTTTCAGGATTATCGTTTCTTGTACGGACACTACTCTTTATAAATTCGCCTCCTTTTTACAAAGAATTTTATATAAAAACTTACCTCAACCACGTAGTTTTATCCGTAACAGTTTNGAGCTCTATAGAGGTTTGTCAGGTATGCATATGCGTGATGCGGACGTATTGTTTTCACTTGATGTTGTCTCGCTGTTCACCAAAATTTCGTTAGACTTGGCTTTGGATGGTGTAAAGAAGAGGTGGGATAGCATTAAGGATCATACCAAAATCCCGTTGGATCCTTTCATTCGAGCCCTTGAATTTGTCTTATCTTCAACCTTCTTCGATTTCAATGGTACTACTTACCAACAAACCTATGGAACTCCCATGGGATCGCCTCTCTCGCCAATTATTGCCGACATCGTCTTACAAGATCTTGAGACTCATTGCCTGAATTCTTTAAACATAACTCTTCCTTTTTATTTCCGTTATGTTGATGACATCTTAATGGCAGCTCCGAGAGAACATATTGATCCCATTTTCAATTGTTTCAATTCCTACCATCCGAGGCTAAAATTTACCATTGAGATCGAGGAGGGTAGATCAATTAACTTCTTGGACACTTCAATATCTGTGATAAACAACAAATTGTTACTTAATTGGTATCACAAACTAACATTTTCGGGCCGTTATTTAAACTTCTTTTCGCAACATCCATTGAATCAAAAAATAGGTATTATTTACGGTATAATAGACAGAGCAGTTCTCCTTTCACATCCATCTTTCCATAATGGAAATTTAATAAAAGCAATCCAAATTTTATTAGCTAACGATTTCCCTCTAGACTTTATTTTTAAAACTGTAAGAAGGAGATTACATTATCTATTCTCAAACAAACTCAATGTGGTGAATGGCGAGTACAATCCAGAGAGTGAACGTTTGAGTGGTGCGAGAGATTACTTTACTTTGCCATTTGTTTCAGGCACTACTGATTCTATTTCTAAGTCGTTAAAAAGAAATGATTTTAAGCTCTCTTTCAGAATTTTAAATACGTTAAGTAGCTTTATTAAAGTCCACAAGGATGATCTCAGTCATGACTCATTGTGTAATGTTGTTTACAAAATAAACTGTTTATCTTGCGATGCTTCATATGTTGGACAAACTAGTAGACAATTACGTACTAGAATTTCTAAACATCAGAAAAATATTTATCTTAATCACAACCGTCAATCAGTTGTAAGCAAGCATCGCAGTGAGTTTGGTCATGATTTTTTGTGGAACGAAATTGAGGTTTTAGACCGAGCGTTTCTTTCAGAGAAGATTGGTTTCCGAAATGTTGAACATAAAAATGCAAAAAAATTGCATAAATTCAATGACGGATACCGAATTATTAGATCCGGTTTATACTTTCCTGATTGAGAAGTTTGGTAGTTAGTCACGTGGGGTGCCTCTCCTACCGCTTTGACGTTTTAACTTGCCTTTCGGCCGGCTACTTTTTCGACATTGCTTATCGTTATTTGATATGTTGAATGTAACGGTTGAGTGTCTGTGTGACTTGCAATTTGCTGCGTTTCAGTACGGGAGTCAATTATGATAATCTGTCAATCATCAGTAAGTTTTTAGCTTTTATGTTAACTTTAATTTATTCCGTTTTTGGTTTTCATTTATTAATTTTTTATGGTTGTCCTTTTTGTTATTGACTTTATTACAAATTTACCTTTTGACTTAATTGGTCACTTGACTTTACTTAATTGTTCTTACTATACTTTGACTTAATCGTTAACTCGATATGTTCGACTTAGTTTACATTATATATTTTTTTATTTAGTAATCAGGGATGAGGAGATAACAAACGTTGATCTTCGCTTATCCTTGTTTTGATTCTCTGATTCGCAGCGTGTTGTTTGTCTGCAGTACATTGGCCTTTGTAAGGTGTGTTTTTGTTTTTGTTTTTATTTATATGAATACGGTTTCTTTATCTTGATTATAACTTCAAATCAATTTAACTCTTATAACTGATTTCTGTTTTTGTAGTTTGGCTGAAGATGATCACAAATAAATTGGATCGAAACGTCCTGTATGTCTAAGTAGACACGATTTGTATTGATTATTTATTTATATTTGCCACTTTCACCAGTGGAGTACAGCGGCTTACCGGTCTTTTTGCGTTTTTCAATTTGTAAATTGATAACTTTTTAACATTTATGTAATTAAAAAACTTACTATGTGTTTAATATTTTTTTGTTAGAAATATGCATTTACTTTATTATAATTCTATTTAGTTGTATTGATTGATTTTTTAATATTTTGATATTATTTCATACTTTGATAATTATCGCGTACAATATTGTTTTACATTAATATGTGATACAAAAAAATCTCATATATTGATTTTAATTATTTGTTATATACAAAACTATAAGGATATTTATTTAGTATATTTTTTAGATCTATATTTAATTTGTATAAAACTTTAACTTGTATGATAGTTTTAGTTTTAAATAATAGTATATTATTTAATAATAAATGTTAAGGATTAAGCGACTCAAATTGCGCGCGCGCTGCTGCCGAAGAGGCCACTGCGCCCTCTGAAGGCGTCCCAGAAAAAAAACCGCGCGTTGCAGGTATCCGTTTTGCCTTTCTGTGTGTTATGAAAATGCTAAGAAAAGCTCTGTCTTGTAACAGTGATATTGTAGCACAGTTTAAAATAGTGCGTCAATTAAAGAGTTGGAAAATTGTACGCATATCAAATACAATCTATTCTCAACTTTACAATCGGCCTCGTTATTCACAGACCTTGACCTGCTCTAACCTCAAAGAAGCATTACTTTTCGTGAACATTTGGTCCTTCGAGCCGGATTTCGTGAATAATCGGTGCTGTGTTGTACGATAAAGTTGTTAGTGACCACTCTCACAGTAGATTCAAGTGACTGCTCAATGGTTCGTGCTTTGCTCAATTAGTTCTCCTATGTGTGACATACAAAATGCCTGACGAGCAAAAGCTCAAAGAGCCGGTCAAATTAGTCCACCGGACGATGAAGGGCAATATATAGCAGGTCTGCTCGACCCTCAGGCTGCTCATGCCAGTGGCGAGGGAAGGAAATCCCGCACTTCGTCAAGGAGTGGTTCCGCTCAATCATCAAGAAATACATCGCCTGTGCTTCTCCCTACTGAAGTTCAGCTCAAGGCACAGTCTCAGCTGACGAGAGTTGAAATTCTCAAGGAAATACTTGAGGTGGTCAGCCAAGAGGAGCTGACACTTGAGGAGCTCAATGAATACAAGGCTCAGTGTGATGAGCACCATAAAGTGTTTAACAAGGAGCACACTTACCTTGAAGCAACTTGCCCTCGAGGTTTGACATCTCATGCATATTTTAAGAGTAATGTGTTCTTGGAGGCTCAACGCACCTTTACTGCTCTTAAAAGAGAGATTGCTCGCTGTAAGGCTCGGCTCACACCGGCTCCACTCGATCATGGCTCAACTAGCATCAGAGTGGACACTAAGTTGCCAGACATCTCGTTGCCNGAATTCAAGGGAGAGTACGCTCAATGGCCTACCTTTATCGAGCTATTTCAGAGTCTCATCTTAGACAACACTCAACTGTCAAACGTTCAGAAATTACACTATCTGAGGGGATGTTTGAAAGGCCAGCCTGCTCAGCTCGTGTCTACTCTGCCGCTCACGGGATGCTCGCTCGAGCAGTCGTTAAAAATTTTGACTGTTCGATATGAGAACAAGAGGTTAACTGGTCAAGCATATTTGGATCAGCTCATGGAGTTAACTCCACTCACTCAACGGAGTGCCACTGGCCTGAACAAGCTTATCAATACTTACGCCGATGTCACCAAAGGACTCGATACGCTTGGCGTTTCACGTTCGAATCTTGGTGACGTCTTACTCGTTTACCTAGCATCTAAGATCTTGGATCGCTCAACTAGAGAGGCATGGGAGACGTCTCTTGGTTCTTCTCAGGATTATCCAACCTTTTCTCAATTGGAGGAATTCTTAACCTCTAGAGCTCGAGCACTAGAACGGATTGAAACAGTGCATCCATCGTCATCTGCTACAAAGTCTGCTCAGCCTTCTCATTCAGCCCCAACCAAGAAGGCTTTAGCTCATACCGCGGCGATGCAGTCAACGGCAACCGCTCTCTCGAAAACGACATCCTTCGCTCAAGGGTCAACGGCTCATCCATGCGACGGGTGCGCAGGATCGCATTACATTGTCGCTTGTGAGCATTTCAAGGGCCTCAGCCCTCAGAATAGACGTGACCTAGTAGAAAAGAAACGGTTGTGCTACAACTGCCTTGGCCGCCATGCGGTTAAGGCGTGCAAGAGCACGCGAAGTTGCAACACCTGCTCAGGTCGACATCACACAATGTTACACGATACCAGCAGCCGTTCATCGGCTGTCACGTCCAGCTCTTACTCCACCGCACAATCACCGAAAGATAACGCTCAGTTCTCTTGTTCAACAGCCCATCAATCAGGCCTATCTGACAAGCGTTGACGGTTTGGTGCAATCGTCGATGGATCGCATGATACTACTCATCATTATACAACACTCTTAGGAACGGCTCGTGCACAAGCCAAGACTCACATGACTGTTCACCTAGTACGTTTGCTCATCGATTCAGGCTCAGAAATCACTTTTGTTTCTGAGCAGCTTGTCCGCCAGCTCAACATTTCTCGACACCCATCATCGCTTATAATACATGGAATTGGAGGTTCAAGAACAACTCAAACACTTGGCGCTGTCAAGCTCACCTTGGAATCTCTGCATTCACAGGACAACATCGAGATTCATGCTCATATTTTAAGAGCGGTTACATCGATCATCCCATCGACAGAGGTAACAGTCAGAAACTGGCCACATTTACAAAACTTGTCTCTTGCAGATCCAGAGTACTATCAGCCACGCTCAGTTGACATTATTCTTGGTGCCGATGTCTATGGCCAGGTAATCAAGCCTGACATTATCAGGGGTCACTCAGCAATGCCCATTGCTCAATGTTCAATTTTCGGTTGGTTGATCCTTGGACCTACCAATTCAGTTCGCTCATCATCCGTGCCCACCCACAATGTCTCCGTTCAACGAGAGGATAAAGTAAAGGAGTTGCTCACCAAGTTCTGGGTTCAAGAAGAATTGCCTCGTGACGAATCTCCATTGCTCACACCTGAAGAGGAAGAATGTGAAGCACATTTTTGTGCAACTCACTCGAGAGATTCATTTGGACGTTACATAGTGCGAATTCCACTCAAGACATCAGCATCCACTCTAGGACTTTCCTACCAGACGGCCTCAAGATGTCTCCAACGAACGATTCGACGGCTCAAGAGAGACTCTGAGTACGGTCAGCTCTACTTAAAATTTATGACGGAGTACGAGCAACTGGGGCATATGAGACGAGTCCTGGCGGATGCTTCACCTCCTGAGGTGACCTTAGCACGTGATGTTTCGACATCAGGAGGGTTGAGGGCTCTGGGAGAACGGTCATCCGACTGCTCGACAGCACATTCCCCTTATTACTTGCCTCATCATGGAGTACTAAAGCCAGACAGCTCATCAACTAAACTCAGGGTTGTATTCAACGGCTCAAGCTCTACATCTTCAGGAAAATCAGTCAATGACATAATGCATACCGGAGCCAATCTGCTGCTCAATATCGTGGATGTGCTCACGTGGATTCGTTCACCATTGCCACATTTTTGCCACAGACATCGTCAAAATGTATAGACAAGTTCGAGTTCACCATGACGATTGGGATCTTCAACGGATTCTATGGGTAGACGATCAGCTCAATGAAGTCCCCTTCCACCTCACCACAGTCACGTATGGCACAAGGGCAGCTCCATTCCTAGCAACTCGAGTCCTTCTTCAGTTAGTTAGCGACGAAGGTCACCAGTTTCCTCTTGCAGTGCCATCGCTCACTTATGGTAGATATGTGGACGATATCTTCGGAGGTGCAGACACAGTCGAACAGCTCATATTGACAGCTCTACAAGTAAAAGACTTGTGCATCGCGGGCGGTTTTCCGCTCTCCAAATAGCATGCAACACACCCGGACTTGCTCACGGCAGTTTCAACGAGTAGCTCATCAAGCTCCTTATNATTAGACGATTGCACAACCAAACTACTCGGATTAAATTGGATTNCTCAAGAGGATAGATTTGTATTCTGCTCAAAGTTTTNGGACCGTCCAGGCAAGCTCACGAAACGCCTAGTTTTATCTGAAGTAGCCAAGATATTCGATCCGCTCGGCTTTGTCTCTCCGGTTGTGATCAGGGCAAAGATGTTCTTGCAGGAGCTGTGGCTCCACGAACTCAATTGGGACAATTCACTCCCAAAACATCTCAGTGCGAAATGGCTTCTGATCAGGAACGATTTCAAATCGCTAGCCAGCATATCAATTCCAAGGTGGTTTAACTCATGGAGCGACTCAAGGGTAGAACTCCACGGATTCGCAAATGCTTCTCAGCTTGCCATGGCAGCAGTCATTTATTTGGTGATTCACTCACCGTCAACAGGATCTGCGACTTCGTTTGTTTGCTCAAAAACAAAGGTAGCCCCACTTAAACGGCTAACAATTCCAAGATTAGAGCTCACAGCGGCGCTACTACTTGCTAAGCTGATGGCTCATGTTCACGCCACACTAAGGCTCGACGTGAAATCGACTTACATGTGGATCGACTCGCAAGTAGCACTCATGTGGATTAAATCACCCGCATCCCGTTGGAGGGATTACGTTAGAAACAGGGTGATTCAAATCCAAGAACTGTCAACAAATTCCACCTGGTGTCACATTCCTGGCGCGATGAATCCAGCAGATTGCGGATCGAGGGGAATTTCGGCGGACCACTTGATGAATCACCCATTGTGGTGGACTGGACCACCCTGGCTCAAGCAGTCTTCCGACTCGTGGCCAGCTCAACCAGACATCGCGCCGGAGCTTACTCATACTGAAGCTCGAACTGGTACAGCTCTATTTGCAGCAGCTCCAATACCTGCACCTAGTTGGAATTTAGTGTACAAATACTCCTCACTGAACAAGCTATTCAAAGTCACAGCGCTGTGTTTCAGATTCATACAATTGCTCAAGCGCAATCTCATGTCACCTCCTTCTACGTGCATATCAGCTCAAGAACTCAACCAAGCAATGCTCTTCTGGATCAAATCGACTCAAGCTACATACTTTGCTCACGAGCTCAAGACACTCAGCCAACATTTGTCACTTCCCACTGCTCACGCGCTCTCCAGACTAACAGCATTTCTTGATGAAAATGGCGTGATTAGAGTGGGAAGCCGACTTAAGGAATCAGCGCTCACTTATCAAAATAGGCATCCAGCAATACTGCCACGTCATTGTCAGCTCACCTCTCTTATCATCGACGACGCACATCGCACCACTCTACATGGTGGTACGCAGCTCACCCTGGCAAAAATTCGGCAAACCTACTGGATTATTGGCGAAAGAGCTCCAGTGAAATCTCACATAATCAAATGTGTCAAATGTGCACGACAGAGAGGGATCCGCGCGAAGCAACTGATGGCTCAGCTCCCGTTGGCGCGAGTCACACCTGCACGTGCGTTTCTACACACAGGTGTAGACTATGCCGGACCTGTGCAGCTCAAGACGTGGAAAGGGCGAGGCTCAAAAACACATAAGGGCTGGATCTGTGTGTTCGTGTGCCTCACTACATCCGCAACTCACCTCGAAGTTGTAACTGATTATTCAGCTGAAAGTTTTCTCGCTGCATATCGACGTTTTGCATCTAGACGAGGATTAGCTCATGTGCTTTACTCAGACTGTGGTACCACCTTTGTTGGAGCAGATGCAGAGCTCTAGAAATTGTTCATTAATTACTCAGCGGAACATAAGCTGGCCAGCTCCACTATCGCTACGGAAGGGACCACGTGGAAGTTCAATTCTCCGGCATCACCCCACATGGGTGGCAAGTGGGAATCAGTTGTGAAATCGATCAAGTTTCATTTGCGAAGAACAGTTGGTGAAACTCTATTAACTTTTGAGGAGCTCACAACATTGTTGACTCAAATAGAAGCAGTGCTCAACTCTAGACCCCTGGAGCCTCTCAGCGACGACCCTGAAAATGTGTCCGCCCTCACCCCTGGACACTTTCTTATTGGGTCCGCGTTGAATTCCACCCCAGAACCCTCTTTCCTTGATATCTCGACAGCTCGACTTACAAGATGGCAGCTCATCCAACAACGACTTCAACAGTTCTGGTCCCAGTGGTCAGCTCATTACTTACAACGTCAACAATCTATCTGAAAGTGGCATCACCCGTCGAATATCATCAAAGTTGGCTCATTAGTCCTGCTCACAGACGAAAGATTGCCTCCCAGCAAGTGGCCACTTGCCAGAGTACTCGAATTACACCCAGGGAAGGACGGACTCACACGAGTCGTCACGCTACAAACTGCCACGACTACACTCACTCGTCCTATTGTTAAGTTAGCGCTCCTACCAATTGTCACGGAGAATCTTCATCAGCAATCCCTTGCTGATGGCGGGCGGAAATGTTAAGGATTAAGCGACTCAAATTGCGCGCGCGCTGTTGCCGAAGAGGCCACTGCGCCCTCTGAAGGCGTCCCAGAAAAAAAACCGCGCGTTGCAGGTATCCGTTTTGCCTTTCTGTGTGTTATGAAAATGCTAAGAAAAGCTCTGTCTTATAACAGTGATATTGTAGCACAGTTTAAAATAGTGCGTCAATTAAAGAGTTGGAAAACTGTACGCATATCAAATACAATCTATTCTCAACTTTACAATCGGCCTTGTTATTCACAGACCTTGACCTGCTCTAACCTCAAAAAAGCATTACTTTTCGTGAACAATAAATGTAATATCTATATAACGAATTTTAGAAAAGTAAACATTAATATTAAATTAATTAAAACCAAAAAATAAATTAGAAAAATANATAATAAGTATAAGAATGTTATATTGTCTTAAAAATAAGTTATATTGTCTTAAATGAGTTAAATAAGTTATCTCGGGGGATGGAGCGCCACCTTGTCGTGGTCCCCGAGCTTGAGTGCCGTGTTGATCCGTGGAGCTATGCCGGCGGGAACTTCGGTTCCTGGCAGGGTCACCCTTGCCGGACAGGTCCACGGGGAGCGGCCAGACTAAGAGCGCATCCGGGCAGGTCGGGCTCGTTAGCCAGGTTACGGCAACCGACCTAGCTCAGGTCCAAGACTGATATAAAACCGCTTCTTTATTACACATGAAATGAGCACAAAGAACAAACAGGAGTTACCGGACCAGGTCGACCGGACGGCCAGGTCTCGGCGCGGGGGGGCTAGTGTCCCGGGTGCCCCCGTGTCGTTATCCAACGACGGGCGGGTGGAAGAGTGCACCGCAGGCTCTTCCACCTATATTGCGTCTGCAAAGACAGACGACGGAGAACGTCCGTGTTGCCCGAAAGGGCGTGCGGCCCCACGAACGGCGTTGAGGAGAGAGGAGTCGATGGAGTCAATCTTCTCAACTAGCTCCGTAATTTCATCGGAGTCGCTGGAGGCTTTTCTGCCGGAAACATTGGACGTGGACATGGGTTTATCCGGTGACGAGCCCATGTCCGGTGCTCTGACCACCGACGCGGCCATTGCGACCTACGTCGCAGAGAAGATGGCCCAACCCGAACGCCGTGGGCGTCCACCAATCCACGGGAAGTTCATCGGTCTGGGCAAAGCTAGGGAGCAGCTCCAAAAAAGGAAAATAGAGGAGAAAGACCGCGCCTTGGACAAAGTGCGGCAACAAGCTTACGCGGCGGCGACAAAGCGCCGCACCGATTCGGAGGCCTCGGGACGCTCATCCGACGCCGAATCGGTTAAGAGACTTCGGCGTTCGTGCCTAACGGTGGGGGGCACGGACGTCGAAGTCGAATGCGAGAAGAGGGCCACGATAGACCTTGTAGACCTGCTCTACAAGGCTATCAACGTCTGCGACGAAGTGGCTGGGCGAGCAAAAAATTTGAAGGGCACGGACGTGAAGGTCCTTCGAGCGGCGGGTCGCGACGGTTGTCGGGTGGCGGACACCCTCTACGTCCGTTTGCGTGGTGAACCTGGGGCGCGAACGGCTCCCGTTTTGCCCCAGGTTTACCAACAGAACGAAGACCTCCGCAAGGAGGTGAAGCAACTGCAGGACGAGGTGGTGGCTTTGATGGCAAAGATTCGCATGCCGCCACCACCTCCTCCCCCCCCGGCACAGGAGCGTCTGGCCGAGGATGCGCTACTTGAGCGCATCTCGGCGCTCATAGACGCCAAGCTCGCGGCCCTGAACTTACCCGTTTAGGGTGCAGGACGCGCGGGCTTGACTAGCCGAGATGGGAGTCGCGACCGAACATTATCGCGGGAAGGAGCACGGAGTGTGCCAAAGGCTAAGGCCAAAGCAAAGGCCACCACCAAGGCTAAGCCGAAGGCTCAACCTCTGGTCCCACCCCAATCGGCGAAGAAGGCTCCAGGACCCTCGTCTTCCACTACTGGAGGTAGGCCGAATCCGCGGCTTCTGCCGCTCCCGGTCGTCCAACTAAGGGAAGAGTTTCTGCCCCTGTAGCTGGCGCGACAGCGCAACCCGCAGGAGGCGGGAAGAAAAAGCGCTTCAGGCTCCGGGTGCCAAAATCGGCAGCGATAACGCTGTCGGTTGACCCGGCACAGCCTGGAGCGATTACCGTTACGGAGGCGATGCGCCGATGCCGTGAAACGATACCACTGTCGTCAGTGGGTATCGCCCACGTGCAACCTCGGCGCAGTATGACCGGTGACCTCATGATCGAGGTCACCGGCGACTCAATGGCCGAGAAAGCTGATGCTCTCTCGGCTCGTATGAAGGAAGTCCTCCGGGATACGGGGATCGTTGTCCGCCGCCCGACGCGCAAGGGAGACTTGCGCGTTTCGGGCTTCGACGACTCCGTATCCCCGGAGGAATTGAAGTCAGCCGTGGCGTCGGCTGGAGGCTGCCGGGAGGCAGAGATCCGTATGGGCGAAGCCCGGACTCTGCCTTCCGGCTTAAGGGGAGTATGGGTGCAGTGCCCCGTGGCTGCTGCTAAGAAATTGGCAGCAGTCCGCACTGTCAAGTTGGGGTGGGTCCTTGCCCGCGTTGAAGCGCTCAAGGCCCGCCCCATGCGGTGCTACCGGTGTTTACGACCGGGGCACACAGGGCACTACTGCCCCTCGAGCGAGGCGGACCGCAGCGGCCGTTGCTACCGCTGCGGCCTTAGTGGGCACCTGCTCCGGCAGTGTAAGGCTCCGGAGCCAAAGTGCCCACTGTGCGGCGATCTGGGGCGACCCTCCCGGCATGTGCTGGGAGGCCCCAACTGCCACTCTCTTCCTGCTGCGGCTGGTGGCGTAGCCACCACGTTTGCAGCTTCAGCTGAGCTGGCAGCGGGGGTGGCAGGGAAACGCAAGAGGAGGAATAGTCCATCGGGCG